AGGGAAAGCCTCCCACTGACCCTTACCCCATCTTTTCTTCATCCCTTTTATCCCCCTGAGCATCACCCCCGCCCCAAACCTCAGCTCCCATCCCTAAACTGTGGTCCACTCTGTTGATATGGCAACTAACTATCCCTCCTTCTGGATGGCCAATGGGTAAGAAACCAACCTTTTCCCAACTCTGTCATTCACCCCTTGGGTGACCCTGGCCTCCTCTGCACTGCTCTGCTCCCACACTAGGCATCTTTCTTCCTTGCACCCTGTGGTCCTTGGAGCAAAGTCTGTGTACGTACACATCAAGCAGGGCAGAGCCCAGACCTCAGTACTGGTTTCATCGTGACTTTAACAGGACATGAATCTGGGCTGCTGCCACAAGAACTAATATGGCTCTTGGTAAATATCAGCACTGTGGGGCTCCCAGCCCACTGCAAGGAGGTGTTAATGCCAGGGCTCTCAGTGCACCCATGGGCTCTGTGACCCCTTCCTTACCTGCCAGGGACCTGGCTGCCTGTGCTCAAGGCCAGTCCTGATGTGAGATAGCCATGTAACCTGGGATCAGACTGCTGGAAAAATAGATAAGGCATGAGAAGGAGCTGTGTGGAGCCTTCACTGGAGCTTTTCCTGCTTGGCTTGGGAGCTGCATTTATGCTTAGATCCTTGCCCTTGGTCCTTGCCTTGCAGGTAAGCCTGTTCCCAGCCTTGTACCTGGCTGATTGTCACCTTGCCTGTCTGACTTGACTTTCTGGCTTCACCTTGGACCTGCCTTATCCCTGCAGACTACTGTGGGAATCACTGGACCCAGTCGTGAACCTCTCTGCTCTCACTCGCATACCATGGGGCTGCATCCTGCCGGTGAGGCTATCCTCCTGACTGCTTTGCTGTCACCTTAGCTCCTTCCCTTGAGGAGCAGCCTACTCTTGCCCCTCCCTGACAGTTATTATCCCTGCTTTACAGAATGAACATAATATAATCATTACAGTGTAGGCACATGGTGGCTGCATAAAGTTGCAACAACTTTTACTTTTCCTTGCCAGCTGAAATGCAAACTGCCACTCACCTCCCACTGCTCTGGGGATCTATTCAGAAGAACACAGGGCACGTCATGGCCTACACTGCATTTATATGTGAAGATTTCAAAAAGAAATGAGCTCTTCTTCCACATATAGCAGCTGAGAAGCAATTACTGCCCTTGACTCTGCAACGGAGGCTTTCACTATTGTGATTTCTTCTGCACTGGCATCACACTGAGGACACTGCACAGGGTCATTTTCTGCTGATGGATGGTAACTCGCTAAGCTTCGATGGCCCAACATGGGTCTGAGCTCAGAGGCTTGAGGGAAATTGGGTTTCCTGGGTGAGGTCTTGCTGAGACCTGACCTAAAGTACTTGTTGCTAATTTAGTTTATTCCTATGAATTCAAGCTTGCAGAGACAGCAGCAGCAAAGACAGAGGGAGCATCCTCTGTTCAGACTCTACAGCGAGTGTTCCCACCTTGAACTTATCATTCCTCTGCTTTCCAAACAACCAGTCAGCACCAGATCTGGGGTGCATTTTTTTTCCTTCTCACTCATGAAAGCACAGATCTGGGGAAGGGAGGAGGTTGATCTGTGCCTTTCTCACTCTGGAAGGAAGGGGTCAGGTCCCTGAGCAACCCCCAGGCATTATAAACATGGACCAGCTGGACTCAGACTTTTCTGGAGGATGCATTAGCTCAATCCACTGGCTTGGGACAGGAGTAACTACTGGAGAGGAGGGAGCAAGAGCATGTGATCAATGGTCTCTTGCCTCAGTATCTGTAAGCTTATGTCATTGGGTCCTTGGTCCATTAAAAGGTCCTTCCCAAAAGACTCTGAGCCTGGCTTGAGCTCCCCGGTGTGTCTCCAGAGCCATTTTTAGTCCCCTTGTTTTGTATTCATCATGTTAGCACTCACGAGCCAAATGCTCTCCGCAATAGCTTCAGCTGGTTCCTCCTTCACCTATACCCACTCTCCACACTTTCCCTAACAGCTTGAGGGCCAGGGTGCGTTTTAGTACACAGCGCGTGGCTGTGCAGAGAAATCCTCATCCATGGATGTGCTGGGTGTGGTGGCGGAAAATCTCTGGAGCTCTCCTGAAGCACAGTCCCCCCACCCCGTTGTGACATCCATCTCAAATATCTCAGAGCTTAGGCTGAGTGGGATGCCCAAATGTGAACACTACTACTAGTCCCTATTTGAGACTTTATTCCTGTCCCAGCCTGCTCTCCCTATCTGCTTTGCTGGAACACTGTCTCCTACAACCAGAATCCCATCTGCCAGAGGAGGCACCCCAATGGTGTCTGGGGTGAAGCTGTGGGATGGAGCTGCTCTGATGTTTCCAATGCTCCCAGGAAATGAAGAGACACCTTAAAATATTTGGTTATTTTTAATAGCATAAAAGGTGTCAGCAACTGTGCAGGACAGAAGAGCCAGAAAGCTGTGAAACTTCACTGTAATGTATGGTGGAGTCTACAATAGCTGCAGGCCCCTCTGTCCTCCTCTTTGCCTTCCCACCCTGCTGAGCCTTTGCTGTCAGAGCAGGTCATGTTGGCATGTCCCTCACAGCTCCGTAGGTATAGCCGTGTGCTGGTCGTTCAGCACGTCCTTCTGTTTGTTCTCCATAGAGATGTCTGTGAGGTCTTGAATAAACTGCTGAATCTAGGGTGGGGAAGAGAGATGGCAGAGCTCAGAAAACAGGAAAGGGAAGAGGAGGCAGAGGAGAACTTGTTGGCCCTTTTTGAGGGCAAATTTCACCAACCAAACTGAGCAGGAGGATAAGGCATTTGCCTTGCTGGGTCTGCGCCACCAGAATGGGCTTTTGCGGTTGAGTCTGAGTTCAGGGCAAGGGTGAATGAAACCAAACCTTGGCCGTGGCTTGATCTGCATCCCCTGCATCCCATGCCCCAGCCCCCCTGGCTCCCACTCCTTCTGCCCTCACAGGGACCCTCACCCTGCTCCACCTCCTCAGGTGAGACAGGGTTGCATGGTGTCCTCTGCCCATTCCCTGTGCCCAAGAGAGCCCAGGTGAAAAGGAAGGTGTCTGTTGGGCACATTGATTTCTCTGGGCTCTCCACTCCCTTTGGGCAGCTGAGAGTCATTACTGCTCCACTTTCTGGGCAGGGAGAAGGGGTCTGGCTTGGCTCTACCATGTCCAGCTGTCTGTGGCTGTCACCCACTGGCACTTTCAAGTTTGCTTTCAGCTGCATGGTCATGTCCTGGAAGAGGTTGAGGGTGGCCATCTTGCTGGTCCACAGCTTCAGGTTTTTCTTGGAAGTCGCATCCTGGATGTTGTCCCAACAAGTCTCCTGAGAGGAGAGGAGACATGCAACATGGACATATGCCCCAGCAAAGATCCTGCTTCAGCACTGGAGACCCTGGCTTGGAGACCCTAACTTCCACACTTGTCTGTTTTGCTAGGAAGAACTTGTCCTTGCCCAGGGCTGTGCTGGAGGTGAGGTGGTTCAGCTTGGTGTTATGGAAGCAGATCCAGGAACCACCATAGCTGCTCCTTGCCCCAGGAACCTCCCCATCTCTCTGTCAGCTCCTGCAGTCCTCATTCTGGTGGGTCCTCCCTGAAGCCCCCATTTGCACTCCCCACAGCAGGGCTAGCTGATACCCGGGGAGCAGCACATCCTACTTCCACCCTTCCAGACCAGGTGCTTTCCAGCTTTGCCTGATGGGACGCAACTGCTGGAGCCTGGAGTATCCAATAAGTGAATTTGGCAAGGCCCCCTCAGAGAGATGCAAAGGGAGAAGAGGCCAGCATTGCTGAGAGCATTTTGGCACACTGAGCACTGGCTACACACTGATGTGCCTCATTAAAGCCCAGTTTACCACTAGTCTGGTCACTTTTGGACTGGTAAGGAGGGAGGAGAAGGGATGAGTGCTTGTGGGCAGATGCTATGCAAAGGATGAAAAAAAAAATACAAACGATAAAAATCAGCAAAACCAACTTCATTCTGAGGCCTGAGCTGTGAACAGGGGAGATGACAAGACATGCCACACAGAAGCCCCATTACAGGGATGATGCTGCAAGGAATGGCGAATGGAAATGAGTGTGATTAGGCTAGAAAAATCCTATGGGCACGTGGTGGAGTATGCTTGGGTGTTGTGCCAAGGCAGATCTCCCCAAAGCCTGGTTAGCTGATAGCTTTTGACTATGAGTTCAACCAAGAAATGAAAAAACACAATGGCTTTGCGAGGGCCTTGTTTTAAACCCTGATGTAGCCTGCTCCAGACCTGGTCTGCCATTCTTCGCTCTACAAGCCCTTAGAGGGGCAAAATTAGGCATCTCCTCTAATCACAAAGCTCCTACTGGGCCTTGCCATGACCTTGTGGCTTACAGAGGAGCCATCAGCTGGTCTTGACACAGCCAGACCTTGGAGATCTTTGCCTGCCCGCCCCACATCTCCTCACCCAATGGAGGGCATCCTTTTGAGCCTGGTCAAAATGTAGTTGGAGTTGCACCAGCTCATTTTCGTACTGCAGGATCTCAGCTTCTTTCTCTGCCACGTACTGGTCCAGGAGCACCTTGGCTTGCTCAGACATTTCCTTGTGTCCCTGTTGTGACTGCAGCAGGTCCTTGTGCACCCTCACCAGCGTCTTGTAATGCCAAATGACTTCCTGGTTCTCCTCAAACTGTAGCACAGAGCACAGAGCTCCTGGTGTTAGTAATCCCCCTGCCCTCCCCTCATCATCACTGCAAGTCTTGTGCTGTTTGGCACCCTGCTCTGACCAGGGACACCACCTCCCCCAGCTGAGAGATCTTCCTTTCTTGACGAGACTATGGCTCCAGTTGGTTTGTGTGATGTATGATCCTGCAATGTGCCAGTCCCAAAGCTGTCTCTGCCATAGGCAAGTGGAGGTATTTCACCTCTTCCCCGCGTGAGCAGTGCTCTGATAAAACACAAAGCACAACTGCAACTGCCAGCACCGAGTCACCTAGACATGGGACGGGGGCAGCTGGGACTGCAGGAGTATAAGCGATGCATGGAGTGATGCCTGGGCATCCTTGAGAGAGGGTACATCTTTTTTGACAACTGCCTAGGTTCCCATTCCCGGGCAGCTTTTCACTTCTCCCAAACCATCAATGTGACATGAAACAGTGACACAAAGGGGTCCTCATTCCCCTCGGCCCTGTACTTTTCCCCCTTTCTTTGGTTTTCTCAAGCATTTGCCTCCTTTTCTGGTTCTCCTCCCTTAACTCTGGTCCCCTTGGCTCACCTTGGTTGCAGGGAACCTCTTCCTGTCCCATCTGAGGTCTCTGGGTTTGACCAAGTGTTATGATTTCCCTTGACTTGCCATATCTCCTCTAAGTTTAATACCCATGTAAGGCGCTCCTCGAGGCCATGATCTGTATGTCTCATGCCCAAACTCACCTGTGAGATCTTCACCACATCCTCCAGGTATTTGTTGAAGATGGAGTACTTCTGCACTTTGTTGCAGAGTTTCTGATGCATATTTCTCAGGGCCTCCTGTTCCCTCTTAACTCTCAAAAGCTCACTCTCCGCCCCCTCTCTCTCTTTCCTGGCTTTCTTCAGAGCTTGGATTCGCATCTTATAATTTTCCTGGTGATGTTTCCCCCACCAACACATACACACACACACACAGAGAAGGAAAGGAAGGCAAGGGAAGATGGAGCTGGGTCAGTCAACAGCATTGGGAGGAGATACCTTCACAGAGGAGAGACCAGTACTGGAGCTCCCCTGGGAGCATTTTCACTCCCTGTTTAACAGGGCCATCCCTCTTGCATTGACCCTTCAGTCTTGGAGACAGGGACCTGGGATGGCACTTTGATTTTCAGACCTACTGGTATCTGACACTGGAAGACACCTGGGTGTCAACAGTGGGGAAAAGGCTGAGTCCCTTCTTGGGGGTTGTTTGGGCCCTCAGGAGATCACACTGGTACAGGACAAGCTCTCTCCCACCCAAGCCCTACCAGGGTTTCCACATCTGTGGTGCAATACCCCATGCCCTGCCAGTCATGTTCCTCACACCTCCAGGCTCAAGGGAGGCTTGGACAGACATGGTGGCCCAAGACTGTCTCACCAAGGGAGAGGAGGAGGTGGTGGTGCATCTCAGGGTCATATCAGCTGAGCTGATCAGGGGCAGGTGTACCTTTACAGTGCTCCCAGATTTCTCCATGTAGGTTTTCAGCTGAGCCTCCTTGGTGTAGAGGTCCCTCCACCGGCAGCTTATGACTTTCATCTTCTCCCTGAAGTCCTGGCAGGACCAGAGCAAGCATGACATGACTGCCCACACCCAGAGCCAGTCACCTGCCCGCTGCTGCCCCCTCAGAAAAACACAAGCCCTCCCAACCGTGCTCCAGCACCTTCCTGTCTTGCTCACCTCTTCCTTCACCTTCAGAGCCTTTTGCATCAGTTGTGCTTGTCTCTTCTTCTTATGGAGGTAAACAAATGGAGACAGGGAGTCCTCCTCTGTCAGTCCGAGTTTCCTGCCACAGATGTTTTCCTCAAGGTTACACACTGGGTCCAGTACCTTGGCAGGGTGTTGGATTGCTCTGCCCTGTCACCCCACCTGGGACACAGTTCTGGGTGGGCTGACAGGGCAGAGCAACCAAACACGATCTTATATCCCATCTGGCAACATGGCATCCCCACCCCTCCCCAGCAGGGATCTCACTGACAGAGCAAGAGGGTGTTACAGGGAGGAACAGGGCTGGGGAAGGGAGGTACAAGAAGAGACTGAAGTGGTGGAGACAAGGGATGAGAGTTTGTCATGTTGGGGGAAGGAGGGATGGAAGAGAGAGGAGAAGAGGATGGAGGGATGGAGGCAGGTGGAGGATCCCCCTCACCTGAGCAAAGTCAGGAGGTTGTCCCTGTACTGCATGTAGAAATAGGCCAACAGGTCCTCGTCACCCATGGTGTCCACTGCCCCAGGCACCAGCAAGGCCCAGAGAGCTCAGGTCGTCCCACCACTTCTCCTCTCCAAGTCAGACCAGGAGCTGCCCTGCAAGCCTCAGGGCTTGGCAGTGTGTGGGAGAGGCAGCCGGGCAGGGGATGAGCCCCTGGGTGCCTCTTGCCTCTACTTTCCCAGGACCTTCCTTGCCCTGCTCGTGCCTGTGTTGGTGGCCAGTTGGCATGGAACAGTTGCCGGGGCACCTGGAAGGTGCTTGGCAACTGCGGTGGGGTTCAGCGGGGGGGGCAGGGATGGGGACTGACCACTGTGTCCAGAACCAGGACTTTTCCACACTAAAGGAAAGCTGAACAACAAATGCAGATTTCTTTCTCTTCCTCTCATTTCCTCTGGTTCTTCCTCTGCTAAAAATCAGCTAAAAAATAACTGATATTTTAAAAACTTATTTTATTTTTTCCCCAGAACAAGGCATTTGAACAAGGTCCATTCGCCAAAATAAAGGGGTGGTATTCATGGGCCAGGTGGGAGAAAACCTACAGATGATGGTGACCTTGGAGTCTGCTCCTTCCATGGGAGATTTCACCCTCTAAGTTTTGCTTCTGTCAGTCTCTGGCTTCCTCACTGACTTGACATACAAGAGCATTTCTGTGAGCTACTGAAGCTGAAACACCCCTGGCTTGGTAGAAAAGGGTGTGACTCTCTGGGCGAAGAAGTCTTCATGTCTGTTACCACCCTGACTTGCATCAGGGAAATTGTTTTTAGGCAAATGGCACCCCTTGCTCATTATAAATCAGTAGGAGCTGGGGAAAGTCTGCCAGATCCGTCTGGCACTTTAAACAGCAATAAGATGTATGGCCCAGGAAGGGACCATTTGTTATATGAGAGATGCTTCATTTAGAGACAAATGACCCAAGGCTAAACAGTGAATACGCCTGGCTTTTATTACTGAGGTTCAAACCAGCTCCATCAGTGACAGGCGACTTCCCTTCTGTCCAGCCCAAGGTCATCATGGGGTTGTTCCCATCCTGACAGGTCAGGCAGATTAAACCTGGTCTTCTGGAGCAGTTTCTGGACCTTGGCAGGGACAAGTCTTGCCTGGGAGCAGGGCTTATACCTGCCTGCAACGTGAGCGGGCTCAGCCCTTCCTCCAGCAGGCAGGAATCCTCTCTGGAAAAGTCCTGCCCACCCTTGCATCCCCTGGGCTGGAGGAGATGCTGGTCCCCAGCAGAGCATGGGAACCCACTGGATAAGCAACCAGGAAGGTCTCAGCACGTCTGAGTTTTGAGTACTTGCCGCAGAGCTGGGAGTTGGGGCAGAGTGTTGGGAAGCGACAGTGGCCTCCTCTTTCACACAAGCAGAGCTGCAGAGCCGTGTGTGTCCTTGTCCTCCAGTGGCTGAACTGCGCTGCCTGAAATTAAAAAAACCCTACAATCTGGGGGAGAGCCATCTGAGGCAGGTGCTGGGCACCAGGATCAGCACTTCAAGCAATTAAGGTTCATTATCATTATGAATAATTTGAGACAGACATTTCCAAGGGGAAGCGCTGGCTGACTTCCCAGTCTGACTGAGAATTCCCCTTTATATGGCACTTTGTCACACAAATGACAAACGGGCTCCAGGGAGCAAGTGATGTCATCAGTCACCTTCCTGCTTGTCAGGCACGTATAACACCGAGGGGCTGCCCCTGTCCCTTTGGCTTCACAGTATTTCATTGATCCAGAGGAGGTGCTGCCCTTCTGCAGTGAGGATAGAAAGTGCAGCCCATAATAAAATCCCCGGGGTTTTACCTTCCTCCGTGGATAGCTGTGGGGCTCTTGCTTTGCACGCTGAATGCCCTGAGCAAAGCTACTGCCTGCAGCTTATGAATGAAGGAGAATTCACCATCGGGTTTTATTCTTGCCGATCAGTAGAAGTTGTGGCTGAGGCCAGGGAGGGTCAGTCAAATTGTAGAGGGCTCTGGGAGGTTTTGGGGATCTCCCAATACTCTTGTGCCCAGGGAAAGCCCCTTCCTGTGCATTCTTTTCGCCACTTCTTGGCATTGCGGAGCTGCAGTGCCTGCTGGCTTAGCACAGCAGAGAGTCAAGCTCAAATTGCTTGTGTTACTCTCAGCCTTTTTTGTGTGCCATCCTACAGACCATCACCAACATTATCTCACGGATTCCCTCTGCTGTCTGCCTCCACCTCCCCTGTTTTGGCAGACAGCAGAGCTGCTTGGATTGGAGATCTTTGTGTGCCCCATCTCTACAGCACCTTATGACGTTCGCTCCTTGTCATCACTACAATGCCATGATGACTAGCATAAAATATGTGCACTGCAGCAAACAGATCTGATGGCATTGTCTGAGGCCAGGACCTCCCCCAACTTTATTCAGGGGGGTCATCTTCTGTGTGAGACAGTAAGCTGGCTGAGGACAGGACTGTTAAGACCAGGAGATGTGGAGTGAGATGCCCTGTCATTAACAGGGTACCAGTGATGTCTGCTAGGGTGTTGGGAAGGTGCTCTGAAGAGCAGCTCCCACAGACTCACCCTGATGGGTTTCCCATGTGGCACATGGGGCTGAGCCTCTCCTTGGAGAACTCCAGGAGAAGCCTGGACAGGGTGGCCAGGTCTGTCTGGATGGGGTTCCCCGGTCTGCTGTTGTTTTTCGAGTTCCTCCATGTTTGCACTGATGAAGCTTGTACATGCTCATGGCTTTCTGTGGTGGTCCCCAGCATGGCTGGGCCAGTGTATCACTCAGGGGTCCCCCCTGCCAGTGTTCGCTGGACTCTTTCATCTTTGCAAGGGCGACCCCTTTCACGTATTACCCAACAGTCATCTCCAGCGCATCCGGACTCTGATGGAGCCCTTCATGCTTGCATTGCCCGGCCACGGCTCTGCCCAGAACAGCTGTCTGCTGTGGAGAGGACACTCGGGGTCCAGCATCTGTGTCAGAAAGATTAGTAAGGAATCAAAATGGAGACTAGCGCCAAACCACCGCTATCCTGAGGACAACCTAAACTAGGAAAGGTGATCTCAGCCCTCATGGTTAGGAGGAGAGGAGAAGGAGAAAGCAGTGCTTGGAGGAGGAAGGTTGGGGTGGAGGGAGATGAAATGCTGTGATGGCTGGAGAGGGAACAACATGGGTGACCAAGTAGATCTTAAAAGGAACCTTGTTTGTATTTTCCCCTGAAGGTGAAAAGGCTTCTGGCTGGCCTAATACAAAGAGAATTGAATTTTAAGTACCCTGTGACACACAGGTACCCTGTGACACGCAGGTACCTTCTTTGTCTTGCAGCACGCTCATCCCCGCAGGATGGACATACCCAGCCCATGAATCACCTAAACCCACATGTTCTTCTGGCTCTTGCCTTCTCTAAAACCAACGGACCCTACCAGCAGACCTGTTTCCTGGAGTGCTGGACCCTCCTGGGCTTGTGGCTGGTGGCTGGGAAACCCTGAGCTGAGATCAGTCCTCTGCCCACCTGGAGGGAAGCCGAGCAGGATGAAATCAGACCCTGCACTTCACAGCTATAGCGAAAGTGCTTGAAGACAGCTTTTTTTTTTTTTTTTAAATGTTCCTAATCACCATTTGCCGCTTTTATCCTCACACCAAGGTTTTATCTTCAACAAACACTTTCCTCCTCAATACACTATGCATTAAAAAAGCGTTTCTTCCTATTATGCTCTCCACAGCAACTGCATCAGCTTGCCATGAATAAATTACCTCTGACTTGACATCCCTTATTAGAATCTAGAAAATGCCATTTCTGAGTCATAGCTACCCAGGAGAAATCTTTTCTATTCATCCACCACCTTTTTACTCTTTGAAGGAAACTGCATTATTTATTTTTTTCCTTCTAAATCTCCTCTGCTCTTGAAGGCCCTGGAGTTGAAGGCTGATGGAAAGCCAACACAAACCTTCCCTTCTGTCTTTCAGAAGCTCCCAGTGCGGTACAAAACGCCCTTGGTGATAGCCAATTCCTCTGTATCACATTGGGCTCTGTATTGGCATGATTTTGAATGGCCAAATATCTTCCCAGCATCTTTCCCTGGTTCTTAGGTCCCCAAGAGACAGGCTTAAGGGAGAAAATGAACTTCTATCCAGGGAGAGCATGATGTTGTATCTTGGTGGGCACAGGCAGCATGGGAATGTTCAAACTCAGTGTTTTCATTGAGTGACCAGGGCTTTTAGGAGTTGGGGAGTAGTTCCCATGTGCAACTGGGACCGTCTGGAGCCCAGGGGAGGTCCCTGCCCTGCCCCAGGAGTCCGTCCAGTCTGAGATACCTCCCAGTTTGCCAAAGCACTTGAATTTTTTCTGGAACAGTGTGGCCACGGCCCAGGAGAGGGAGCACTTATTAAACAAGTGTGCAGTCCCAGATACAGTCCCAGTCCTGCCCTGTTTCCTTGCCCTGGGGTAACTCCAGGCAGCCTTTCTGATGGTGGGCAAGGGTCCATCCCTTCTGCACAGCATACCCTTCCTCTGCCTTGTTCCTATCCCAGCCTGACCCTTCACTGTGAGTGCAGTTGATGCTGATGGCAATGCAGGATAAATGTGCTGATGTGTAAGAGGGAAGGGGTGGGGGAGCCTGTGTCACTTTTTGGGATCTCTCCCCCGACTGTGCTCCCCTGCTACCTTCTCTCTGAGCCATCCACCACAGCAGGATTTCAGCTTAACCCCCAGAAAGCCAAGGCTGTCAGAGATGCCCTTCTCTGAGAACCTCAGTGCCTCTTGGGCAGGCTGGTCTCTGCTCTGTGGAGCAGATGTTTTCCCTCTCCTGGAGTTCCCTAGCGTGAATTTGTCCCAACATCTGTACCTGTACCCCAATCCAAAGGGCACCTCAGGGTGCACCTCCACATTGTGGCTTGGGGGAAGAGGAGGCTCAGGCTTGGAGGCTGATACAAGAAGCAACAGGAGAAGGAGAAGTGTTTTCCAAACACCGGGCTCTCCACCTATTTGCAAACTAGCACACCCTTAAATTCACTTAGTCATTTCCAGGCACCTGAGAGACAGCATGGGCTAATGGG